CCCTGTCTTGTTATTCATGAGCTTTCTATCTTGGATCGGTTTATGCTTATATATTTTTTTCTTCATTGTGTTGGTATGGAACAACAGAAAATTGGTTATTAAAATACTTATGACCATTTCATAATACAAACAAACAAAAAAGAATATGTAGACTTGTTATTTGAATACTTGTTGTTTTAAAAAACATACAGCATTTAGCTCAGGCTTTAGATTAGATCCCTTGGACTGCAAGAAGATCAAATCAGTCAATCCTAAAAGTAATCAACCCTGACTGTTTCCTGGAAGGCCAGATAATGAAACTGAAGCTCAAATACTTTGGCCACCAAATGAGAAGGGAGCACTCACTGGAGAAGACCCTGATGCTGGGAAAGATTGAAGGTCAAAGAAGACGGGGATGGCAAAGGATGAGATGGTTAGACAGTGTCATAGATGCAACAAACATGAAATTGAGCCAACTTCAGAGGACGGCAGAAGACAGGAAGGCCTGGCGTGATCTGGTCCATTGGGTCGCAAAGAGTCGGACTCGACTGTGCGACTGAACAACAACATTAGATTAGATTCTTCTTGTCTGTATTCCTTTTCTATTAACTTGTTGACTTTAGGAAGGTCCAGAAGACAAGCTGTTATTTTCACAAATATAAGTTTTGCCCTGGGACTTCCAGTAAGTAACTTATTTTCAGCATTAAGATCACCCTAGCTCCAGTCTGTGATATAATCACACTGGCCTACCTTACAGGGCTGTTGTGATTATTATTTTTTACATCGAGTGGCAGCCGACTTAGAGTGATCCTACAGTGTTTTCAAGGCAAGAGACAAACAGAGGAGGTTTGCCATTAGCTTCCTCTGCATAGCAGTCCTGGACTCCCTTGGTGGTCTCCCATACAAGTCCTACCCGGGGCTGACCCTGCTTAGGTTCTGAGATTGAAAGAGATCTGGCTTTCTGAGATCAGGCACCATCAGAATCTTGATGAGCTCTCTCTCTGTAGGTTCCGTCCCCAAACGTCCAGGAATTTCCCAACCTGGAGTTGGCAATACAACAGTGGTGGATCTGTCCTCCATGGTTATTTTTCGAAGCCCCTTTTAAAGCCTGGGATCTTCAAGTCAGGGTGTTGTAAAGGCTGCAACAAAATTATATACCGGAAGTAATGTAAACACTGGAAGTACTATGTAAGTGGTGAGTATTGTTATTAAAAATTCCTAGTCTCCCTCAAAAAGGAGGGAAGTGCTATTGGAATGCTTCAAAACAACCCTGCGAATCACCTCTGCCATGTTCTGGACATAGGCTGCTCTGTGTGTGTGTGTGTGGGGGGGCTCCCCTTTTCTAGTTATATAAATATAAGGTTCAGAATGAGGCACACAATCTGAACAAATCATGTTCATTTCATGCCTTTTCGAAACATAATTTGATCCCCACATCTGAATTATTATTTTTTTTTGGTGCAGAATGTGAACAGCTGGGAGGATGCTCCATACAGTAAAATATTTTTGCGTGGAACCTCTGTTTAACCTTACCACCCTCATCCCAGGAGGTGCAGAGGCCAGAAGCAGAAAACAGATTTGGTCTACTCCGCACCATAGTAAACATGTAACATTTAAGATGGGTAGCCGCGTTAGACCGCCTGTAGCAGTAGAAAAGAGCAAGAGTCCAGTAAAGGTAAAGGTTCCCTTGCTCGAAAGCCAGTCGAGTCCGACTCTAGGGTTGCGGTGCTCATCTCCATTTCAAAGCCGAAGAGCCAGCGCTGTCTGAAGACGTTTCCGTGGTCATGTGGCCGGCATGACTAAACACCGAGGCGCACGGAACGCTGTTACCTTCCCACCGAAGTGGTACCTATTTTTGTTGTTGTTGTTCAGTCGCACAGTCGAGTCCGACTCTTCGCGACCCCATGGACCAGCTCCCGCCAGGTACCTATTTATCTACTTGCAATTTCTTGCTTTCGAACTGCTAGGTTGGCAGGAGCTGGAACTAGAGATGGGAGCTCACTCCATTATGCGGCACCCGGGTCTCGAACTGCTGAACTACCGACCTTCCACAGCCTGCAGTTCAGCGTCTTAACCACTTGAGCCACCACAGCTCCACAGTAGCACCTTATTAAAGACTAGCAAAATCTGTGGCAGGGTAGGAGCTTTCGTGAGTCACGGCTCACTTCTTCAGATGATCTTTGTATTTGAAGAAGTGAACAGTGACTCGTGAGAGCTTCTACCCTGCCACAAATTTATGGTGCTCCCGGACTCATGTAATATTTAACTAAATTATTTGAAACCTGCTGCCCCTTAAGGGTGACTAAAAACTGCTGCCAGGGCTAGCCCACCTCCACCTTGCTCTTCAGCCTTTGCATCCGCTGAGTCTGAACAAACCTCCAACCTGCTACTCTTCCCTGCTAAAAAATCCAGTGCAAACTGAAAACAGTGCTCTGAAAAACACTGTGGGGAATGGGGAAGAATCGAGGAGGAAGGGATCGTCTCTCCTCTTGCCACTGTTTTCCCATGGCAACTCCTTTCAAGCCCCTTACCCTCCTGCAGAGTTTCAGAGGTGTGAATAGGTCTTGTGCAGGTGTTACGTTCACACCAACTGGGAGCCCACCTAGGGCCGGCATCAGCACGCCCTGCCATTGGGCAGCTGCCAGGGCCCATGGATTCTGTGGGGCCCACCGCTGTCGACTCCCTACTCATGGATCTCCTCTGATGGCTGCACTCGCACTTTCCCACTGCCTGCTTGTGAGTGTTTCGTTACCTGTGCTCCAGCTGCATGTGCCACCTAGTGCTGCTGGACAAGGGCATGTGGGTGGTGCATTCCAGGTGGCCACAGCAGTGGCACTTGTAGCTGCACCCACCACCTGTCAGAAGTTCCAGGTGTAATGCCCCTGCCTCAGCCCCCAGACCTTGTGGCAAGAGAGACTAGATAGCTAGATGGGCACACTGACCTTTCTTCCTTTGTTTACTCTTCTGCCACTGTCCCCTTTGAAAAGTAGATTGTGTTCTCAGAGACAATTCCCTTCCTTCCTTCCTTCCTTCCTTCCTTCCTTCCTTCCTTCCTTCCTTCCTT